TCTTATTCTTTCTGAGCACTTTGTAGTTGTTTCTTGAAGCTCTTCTTTCATGTTGTTAGTGAGTACATTGTCATTTTCTAATAAATTAAGAACTATAAATCTGTCTCTGACTTGTTTCAAAGATTTTTATGATTTCAATGTCTTTCAACTTGTTCACATCAAATCTAATACATGAACTGTTTTGTTTGAAGTTCATATTTAGTTTAAGCTTAGACAGTGATCATGTCATGATACTTTGACAAAGTTACTGGTCTGCTTGACATAATTCTAAGATATCTGGATTTATCAATTTGATTATTCACCTCTTCATTGGACGCATGCTATATTTTCTTACAGATTTTGTTGAAAAAAATGTGTAGGCCTGGGTAAAGTTGTTGCTTCTAAGAAATTCTATAAGATACAGTTTTTCCATAAATGCTTTCTCCTACTCCAAATTGTACATTTCCTCTATTGGTCAGACTTCCAGTCTGTTAATATAATGAGCAATTCATTGACTTTTCTAAATGATTTACTAAAATTCTGAATTTTATCAGAATTCTGGAATTGACCAAGGAAGAGAGATTGGATGCAGCATGAATTAAGAATGCATTATACACTGTTTTGCTGCAGGCAGCATCATGGAAATGGTTGGATGTCCACCCATCAAAATATCTGAAAATCCCGGGTACCTGAGTACCCTGTTTCTAAGTAGGCAAGGAGTGAATATCATCTTGAACTACAGGTATGGATAGACAACAGGTGGCTGATACCTTACCCCCAAAAAGTACTTGGTCCCCCTAGGGGTCTGATCCCCTTAATGGTGGTGGTTCAAAAGAATAAAGGAAAGGTCCACTAGTGTTAGATTACCGCAAGCTAAATGAACATATTGACACATGCGCTGCCCATGCTGATGTTTGTGCTGAAAAATTGGGAGAATGGCAGAAAAAAGGATCCAATGTTTCCATGCTTGATCTTTGCAAGGCATACCTACAGATATGTGTGCATCGATTGCTTTGGCGATTTCAAATGTACTGCCTGACAAGAATGGGATTTGGGCTCAATGTGGCACTAGTTGTCATGAAAGCCATTGTGGATACCATAATGGTAAAAGATGAGTCCATTCTCCGGGCCACTTCAGCCTGTATTGATGACTTCTATGTCAATGAAGACAGAACATCTGCAACATGAGTAAAACAACATCTCACTAATTTTGGATTGATGTGCAAAGACCAAGAGTAATTGGAGGACAATGACCAAGTGCTTGGCTTGCAAGTTTAGTGGGGGGTTGGAGCAGAACACCTTGTATTGGAAGCAGTAGGTGGGATACTGAAAGAACTCGAAGTTTTGATTTAGTGAAAAATATTTTCTCATTGTGAAAAATTAGTAAGACACTTTCCTGTGAGTGGCTGGCTCCATATTGCAACAGCCTTCATCAAACCAGCAACTGAGATTACATCTGTCTGGGATGATGAAGTAATAGACCCCCCTCGACAACATGATTAGTACATCTTTACCAGATTAACTCTGTGCAAGGCAAGTGGTGTGTCAACAGGCATGAATTTGAAGTATAGGTCGATGCAAGCTCCCTTGCAACTGGAGAGTCCCTCGAGTTAAATGGGAACATAGTGGAGGATGCATGCTGGTTGCATCCCAGAAAGGATGTTCAGTATATAGACATAGCTGAGTTGGACACTGTACTCATGTATGTTAATGTAGCACTTCAATAAGCACTTCAATAGAAAGCAAAAAAAAGTTGCACTTATTCATATTTGAAGAGAGATGGCTTTGAGCTGAGAGATGGCTCGTCCCCAGCAGACAAGCTGGAGATGGCTCCCCCAGCAGACAAGCTGAGAGATGGCTGTCCCCCAGCAGACAAGCTGAGAGATGGCTCCCCCAGCAGACAAGCTGAGAGATGGCTCACCCCCAGCAGACAAGCTGAGAGATGGCCTCGTCCCCAGACAAGCTGAGAGATGGCTCGCCCCCAGCAGACAAGCTGAGAGATGGCTCGTCCCCCAGCAGACAAGCTGAGAGATGGCTCGTCCCCCAGCAGACAAGCTGAGAGATGGCTCGTCCCCAGCAGACAAGCTGAGAGATGGCTCGCCCCCAGCAGACAAGCTGAGAGATGGCTCGTCCCCCAGCAGACAAGCTGAGAGATGGCTCCCCCCCAGCAGACAAGCTGAGAGATGGCTCCCCCCAGCAGACAAGCTGAGATGGCTCAGATGGCTGAGATGGCCCCCCCAGCAGACAAGACAAGCAGACAAGCTGAGAGATGGCTCGTCCCCCAGCAGACAAGCTGAGAGATGGCTCCGTCCCCCAGCAGACAAGCTGAGATGGCCCCCCCAGCAGACAAGCTGAGAGATGGCTCAAATCCCCAGCAGACAAGCTGAGAGATGGCTGAGCAGACAAGCTGAGAGAGATGGCTCGTCCCCAGCAGACAAGCTGAGAGATGGCTCGTCCCCAGCAGACAAGCTGAGAGATGGCTCGTCAGACAAGCCCCAGCCCCAGCAGACAAGCTGAGAGATGGCTCGTCCCCCCAGCAGACAAGCTGAGAGATGGCTCGTCCCCCAGCAGACAAGCTGAGAGATGGCTCGTCCCCAGCCCCCCCCCAGCAGACAAGCTGAGAGATGGCTCGTCCCCCAGCAGACAAGCTGAGAGATGGCTCCCCCAGCAGACAAGCTGAGAGATGGCTCGTCCCCCAGCAGACAAGCTGAGAGATGGCAAGACAAGCTGAGAGATGGCTCGCCCCCAGCAGACAAGCTGAGAGATGGCAGCAGACAAGCTGAGAGATGGCTCGTCCCCAGCAGACAAGCTGAGAGATGGCTCGGCCCCAGCAGACAAGCTGAGAGATGGCTCCCCCAGCAGACAAGCTGAGAGATGGCTCGTCCCCCAGCAGACAAGCTGAGAGATGGCTCGTCCCCAGCAGACAAGCTGAGAGATGGCCCCCCAGCAGACAAGCTGAGAGATGGCTCGTCCCCCAGCAGACAAGCTGAGAGATGGCTCGGAGAGATGGCCCCCCAGCAGACAAGCTGAGATGGCAGCAGACAAGCTGAGAGATGGCTCGTCCCCCAGCAGACAAGCTGAGAGATGGCTCGTCCCCCAGCAGACAAGCTGAGAGATGGCTCGTCCCCCAGCAGACAAGCTGAGAGATGGCTCGTCCCCCAGCAGACAAGCTGAGAGATGGCTCGTCCCCCAGCAGACAAGCTGAGAGATGGCTCGTCCCCCAGCAGACAAGCTGAGCAGACAAGCTGAGAGATGGCTCGCCCCCAGCAGACAAGCTGAGAGATGGCTCGTCCCCCAGCAGACAAGCTGAGAGAGACAAGCTGAGAGATGGCCAGACAAGCCCCCAGCAGACAAGCTGAGAGATGGCTCGTCCCCCAGCAGACAAGCTGAGAGATGGCTCGTCCCCCAGCAGACAAGCTGAAAGTACTGCTGAGAGATGGCTCAGCACAGTGAGGAAGGAGATGGAACCAGTGAAACTTTTCTGTGATGTATCAGTGAGCAAATGCAGCTCGAACAAGATAAGGCATCCTGGCATTAAAAGGACCCTGTACTTCATAAGGCAGATTGGTCCAGTGGTGTTCAAGGCATTCTATGACTACAAGTCGTTAGACTTGTAGTCATAGAATGTAGTGTCAGTCCATTGACTCATTACCAGTACAATGGCCAAGAGGAAAATTAGTGTTGTGGGGACCCAGATTGGGATGAACATCACTCATCACAATGGTAAACATTACTTGACACTGATTGACTGTGGACCCGCTTGATTCACAATCTGGCGACAACTGCATCAACAAACTTCAGCCAGTGTCATCAACCATTTAAAGGCCCTATTTTTTTGAATGGGGACCTCCTGCTGAACTTCTCACTAACAATGACACTGCTTTCTGTAGTAAACCATTCAAGGGGTTTTTAGACTGGTGTGGGAATCCATATCCATTTCCACTGCATGCACATCCCCTCCAGTAATGGGATAGTTGAACGTTGCCACCAAAGTGTAAAGTGAATTCCCGTGAGGAAACGACGCTCAGTGATGGAAGCTGTATATTGGCACAACATTACACCCAAAGATGACATGTCACCTTCCATTGTGGCCACCAATGGGATTTACCATTATAGAGGCCAGGCACAAGGTATTGATAAAACACCTCCAACCAAAGCAATAATGTGAATGATTGACATATGGGTTAGGGAATGGTGTGGGTAAAACTACCTCAAAACTGATGTACAACTCCATATCAAGTGGGATGTGTCAAAGGTATTAGAAACTCATATGCAATTTTTGTTAATGGGATGCCATGCCATGTGAGGGATCTACACTCACTTTGTCAGTTCAAACACATCAACAAGTGATGTTGACAGCAAGTCCTCTAACAATGAAGGACTAGTCAAAATAGGAAATACCTTGAGTATGTACTCAGAAGAAAACTACACTCAGCCTATTGGAAATACATCTAATGTCCATTTGGGAGGTGATTCATCAGATAAGGAGATGGTAGTTGTTTCTTTAAGAAGCACAAGGCTTAAGTGACCTAGTGTGATCATGAGATCAAGTGGGGGGAGTGTGGTGAAAGAAAAAGTCACTTACTGAGAAAAAAGTCACATGTGTTCTGTATGGATATGCCAAAGACAAAATAAGCAAATTAGAAACCACTCAAATGCAGGTGTTGCCATAAATGTATCTAGGATATGCTAATATGTGTGTCCTCTCCCACCTGGCGACCATTGAAAAAATTGTTCTGTTGACAAAAGTGGTTGGTGTTCTTGAATTGAGAAAAGTAATTTTATTTTTCTACCTCATTGTTAGCTTGCATGTTGGATTTCTGACCGTTTATGTTTATTGGAATTTGTGACATTTTGGATCTGCAATTTGTGATTTCAACATTTCTTTCTGCCCCAGGATCTTAAAGTTTAGACTTGCAATTTATTTATTTTGTTGTGGAAGTGAGCTGCCATACCAATTTTTGAACATCATTTTAAATCTTTATCAGGTAAACTTATTTCTTCAAAAAACAGTGACAAAAATGGTTAGGTTCAGAAGTTAAACTAATACAGATTTTGTTATGTGGTTTTCTTTGATTTATAAAGGTGTTTAGGAACATATTTATAGATTGGAATCACCTGGGTACATGGATAGTTGTAATGAGTTTTATAGTGTTGCTGAATTAGTCTGATTTGGTTGGTATATTATCAATCATTTTTGTATAGCTATTTTCTGAAGAAGTAGCTTATTTGTTTTTGTTATTTTTATGAATTATATACATTAAGGTTGAAGAATGCGTTGCTCAAGACATTGAGAACAACTCTGAAAACACAAACAAGTTCAGTTGTCCAAACTAAATTTACAATTTTTAATGTCTCTTAAAATTATGTTTACAGATTTTTAGTAAAGATTTCAATTTTTTTAAATTTTCTATTGACTGAAAGCTGTCAGTTAAGTAATTTTATTGGAATTCTTGATGCATAAGTTTATTGAAAATTAAGATTTTACCTTGTTGATGCCTTTCCTTGATTACTAAAATTCCTCCAACCCACTGATTTGTGTTGCTCAGAATAATTCCAAAAGCCAGTCCTTGCCGAATACAAGTGTGTCCCAGCCTCAACAGCTTCCATTGGTGCAAAACCAAACTCTTGCTCAGCAAGCACAACAGTCCAGTAAATCACAGCCAACTTCTACAACCAGCTCAGCTACATTTGATTTATTGGGTGACTTAGGAGGAGACCCATTTGCCAGCACACCTCCTTCATCAAATGCATCTTCTGGTAAATTTTCTTTCTCTCCTTCAATTATTTTTTTTGTTTTGTTTTTTTTTTTAAGTTTGTATGTGCTGTGTTATTTAAAAGAAAATTCAGCAGTCATTCATAAGTTTGTGCAAAAGTCTACCTGAACCTATAAAAATAACTGATTAGAAGTTAAAAGTTTAAGATGAATGTAAATTTTTATTGTAACTATTTTTGATAGTGTTTCTTAAATTATATTTTTTATTCTAGAAAATAAGTTGCTTTCATTAAAGTAATAAACTGAATTCTAAGATATGTTCTCAAGTTATCTTTTATCAGACAAGCAAAAATTAGAGCTTTCTAGAAAACCTATACTGATATATACTGGTTATGCTATTCTTTTGAAGTTTCGAATTTGCTTATGTATATGATATTAAAAATAAATGTTTTCATTTATTATCAAAATGTAAAATACCTTTTTTTTTCTTTTCTTTTTTGTTACTTGCAACATTCAATAAAAATTAAAGTTATTTGATAAACAACGCTTTTGTTACTAAATTAGGCTTCAAAATCACCAATAAATGTGAATAATTTGTTTTGCTCCACTATTAACAGAACAAGAAATATGATACAAGTAGACCTTACAAATGAAATAGAAAAACAATATTTATTGATAATGCTATCCCGAACCATTCAAGATCTAGTGTACTTATTGTTCTTGTTGACTCAGCAGAAAATGCCTTAATGTTAACCTTTACTTTTAATGTCTATTTGAAGACATTAATAAGATGTCTAAACAATAACATGTAATTTATTATAAAAATCAAAACCAATTCATTTTTATGACCATCTACCATTATAAATGCATTACTAAAATTCCTTTTTTTTTTTTTGTCTGTATTTTTCTTACTTGGTTTTTGTTTATGCTGATTGCATGAAAGTTTTGGTAGCAAGATAAATTTTTTTTTTTATTTCCATTGAAATAGAAAACCATAATTACTGTAGGGATTGAAATAATAAACTCATCAGATCTTTTAATATTTTATGTACAATGAAATTAAAATTTAATTAAATTCATATGCAATGGAACCAACAAATTCTAGCTGTTAGATTTTCTAATTTTTAACTATTTTTTAAGTAACCTTTTTATTAACATTTTATGTTAAATTACAATTTTACAAGTAGCATGCTTTAAAAATTATAATTTGCTCTTAAACAATTTATGCTATTTTACCCTAATGATGTAGGTTTTGACTATGCTATTAGTCAAGAAACTTGGGATCATTTTTCCTGAAAATAAAATCACTGATTTAAATCATAATAAAACAAAATATATGGTTTAAAATATTCAGGCAACTTTTTGAAACTAGTGATGGATGTAAATGATTAAATAAGTGAAATTTGTTTATATTTAAGTAATTTTATTTAAATAGAAAACACTTAATTTCTATAGTTTCTCTGCCTTTTTTTATGGTTTAAAAATTTAATTAAAGGTATGTCTCTTAATGTGATTCACTGAAGAATTTTACAACAATCCAACTTTCAGGTAAACTAATAATTTCTCCTCTAATAAAAATATATATATATTTAAGATCTAATCCTGTTATTTTCATACATATTTTTATGTTTACTAATTCATGTTTATTTTTACTTCCATAAAATCATGACAGCTGGTAGCTCAATTGGTAAAACACCAGGATTGGAACCTCAAGGTATTCAATTCATAACTTGTTTATTAATAGTGAAGCTGATAAAATCAAATACCAGTGAGATATTGATGTAGAAGATCAAATTGATTATGGAAAACTTCCTCAACTGGTAGAAGTTTGTGTCTGGTTATGGCCATTTAATTTTACATTTTATACACAGCTATTTGATTTAGGTTTTTGGCTTAGGATAAAAATGTGCTTCAGATTTCTTTATAATAAGATTACATTCATCAAACCTCACTTGTTCATATTTTCCTAAAATCAAGCTCACATATATTTGGTGACAGATTTTTCATATTCATGCCATCTAAATTCTTGCATATTTGAAGCAATTATTTTTTTTATTTATTTATTTTTTAAATCTTTACTCGAGGCTTTTATTTATATCAATTTATCTGTACAATTCTTTATATTCTACTATTCTCTTATAATAATTTAATCCAAAATCTTGTTGGTTACAAATTACAATTCTGAATTAGATGATTTAAATTTGGTCTTTATTTTTTTAACTTTGGTTCTATCTTGGGAACTATGTATCAGATAGATTGGTGTACCTTTTATTCATTTTGTTGGACAGGGTGCTATTTTTCTACAAAATTCTCTCAAATTGCTGTTAATTGCTATTTGTTAGTTATTAATACTCACTTTGATTCATTTCATTTGCAGGTGGTGGATTTGCTGATTTTAGCCAATTCAGTAGCCAAGCATCTACACCAACTGGCTCCAATGCATTCTCACCAACTTCAAGTGGTTGGTTGATTCTTGAATTTTAGTTTTGCTTTCTGTAATATTTTATTTTCAAAATATAGGTTTGTCTCAGTTTTTAAAAATTGTGATTTGTATAACATTTTTTAATAACATAAATTTATGCCAACTTGAAAAGATAAAGTATTAGAAAAAAAATTTCTAATTTCAATTTTATTTTACAATTTGTCATATTCTTATTATATTTATTCATGATGTAACTATTTTGTCCATTGCTTACAATTCAAGATAAAATATATTCAATATTGTCTCACCAGAATAATTACAAGTAGTGAGTTCAATCCTTACTGGGTGTTTCATACTTTCGGCCTTGTGCCACATCTAAGCTACACTTGGAAAATTACTATAATTAAGAGAGAAAAATTCACATTGGATATAATGCATAATGCATTCTCTCCAAAGCAATCTTTAATGCTATTATTTTATTTAGATCACCAATACATTTTCATATTATGTAAATGTTTGCACAATTTATAATTTCAACAGATTACAAACAAGCTTCTTAGTAGGCATTGTAGGTTTTTTTTTTTTTTTTAAAGCAAAGATGAATTTGATGCTATTTTGTTGTTTCCAGCACCACTTCAACCATTAGGAATGACAGGACCATCATGTACAGTTTCTAATGGAGGTTTTGCAGCATTTCCTCAATCATCAACAGCCCCAGCTTTAGCAAACACTCAACCACCAAGCCAGTCAAATGATAAGTATGCAGCTTTGGCTGATTTGTGTAATGTATTTAATGATAATACTAATGGAGGCAATGGTAATACTACAGGTACTACAGCTAGCCAGTCTACATGGAACATAAGCAGCAATTCTAGCAGTACAGTTCCAACGTCTATTAACTGGGGAGGAACTGGAGGAGGCATCAGTACTCCTGTTGTAACCAGTGGTAGTGGAGGGTTTGGGTTTGCTTCCGTCCCCACCACTAGTGGTGCTCCAATAGACTGGGCTGGTCAAACAGCAACTGCAGGACCTACCAATATGAACTGGGGGCCTCCCACAGGAGTTGCACCACCACAGTCAGGATTTGGAAATGCAGGTATCTTTTTGTTTTGTTTTTTCTTCATTTAGTTTTTGATCAGCTATCTGCTAAACATTTTTTGAAATTTTTCAACAAATAGGTACTTTCTTATATTTGATTTTGTTATGGATTAAAATGTCATTTGTATTAAGTGGTAAAGTATGTATCTAACTTCTGCTTTAATAAAAAGGAAAAAAATTGTTTGCTATTCAGATTTTCTCGCTACAAAAGAAGTCATTTCCAACACTTACCCCATCTAGATTAAAATTTTTATTCATTCAAACTAAAATTAAACATTACACTTCTTTAAACAAGAAAGATTAAGTGTAACATCTAAATTAATACATCTTTATTTGTGCATAGTTTATAGTGGATACTGAGTACCTCCAAAAAATGATACCTAAGGTTTAAAATGAATTATTAAAAATGAAAAATCTTTCTTGAAGATTTTATTTTAGTTTTAATTTCAAGCTAATAGATTAAATTTAATATTTTCAATAAGCAAAATACTTATTACAAAAATTAGTTTGAATTGACTGGAAGGAGTTTTCTTATTTTCTGCTAAAATAGCTGATTCGCCCCCCCCCCATCTTTTTTTTTTTAGTTTTCTTTCATTGCAATGTAATTCTCTTTATTAAAAAATCTTCCAAAAATAAAATATTTTTCTGAAACTTTATTTGAATAATATTAGCTGATTTAAAGTATAATTAATCTGATATGAAACAAATATTTACTTTAAGTTTAAAATATTGCAGAAATGCATTTTTTAACCTGATAGTAGCTGTTTTAATGCGTTGAGAGCCTGATGACAGGTATAATGTTCTACGGAGACTTTATCTGTAAAGCATAATTTAAGAAAATGATGTGAGCATCTTTTTTATTTTAGTTTTAATTACCCAGTAATCTTAAAAATTTAGGAAAATATTCTCCATAATCTAATGTTTTATTAAATTTTAGAAATTTCTGAATGTTGTGTATGGTTGCTTATACTTAAAAAAAAAAAAAAATGGGTACATTTATACACACACAAAAAAGTTCAAAATTCTTTTAAAAATATTGTTTGATGATTTGTATTAAGTTTTTCCATTTATGATTTGGTTTGTTTTTTTTAATGGCATAACAACCTCAATGGGTTATTTAATACTGACAAGATTTTTATTACTGGTAATTTTTTTTTTCTTAAAAATGTATTGCTGGTATTAAAATCTATTTTTACACTTTCATAGTGTTTTGACTCCAGTTTGGGAGTTAACTATTTGCCCATAGCTGGGACCCTAACAGGTGTTACCACCCTGGGTCAAAGTGAATCTGGGAACACCAGCAATTAAGAGGTAGTTCCATGCTCCTCAAAACCTTTTGATCAGATGTAGTACATCATCATACCCAGGACATGGATGTAGTTTAATGTCATACCCAGGATGCCTCATGGCTCTTACCCCTCTGCAGAGGCACAGTTATCATATTCTGAAGTCCCAGCTAACAAGGCACTTACATTTATGATTAGTAAATATAGTTTTCACTTAATTTCAGCCTTTATATGATATCATTAATACAAAATTTTAAGATTTAAAACTTAATAAATTTTTCTAATTAAATTTTTTTAAAAATGTAAACAATTCTTGTAAAAATTCATTATTTATCAAAAAAAAATTTTCTTCAGGCAATAGTGTCCTTAATAAATCTTATTTATAAAAACAATGAAAAGCTTTTCTAATTAAATGACATAGTTTTATTGCATTTTTTATGTTTCAGTGCAGATTTTCTAAAAAAAAAAAAATTCTAAATTAATTTCATTCTTTTATGAATAAATCCTGAAAATTTGATTAGAATCTGACAATTATTTGATTTTTACATGAATTTCCAAAAAAAGATAATAAAAATCCCAATACTAATCTTTACCCCACAATGCAAGAAAAACAATTTTTAACAAAAATTTTGAACACGCTAGAAAGGATTAAAAAATTTAAAGAAAAAATACTTTAGTCTTTCCTCTTAATAATAGCAATCATTTTGATGATAAAACTTTGTTTTTATCAAATTTGGGCCTCTTTTTTTTCACCATGATTTTTTTTTTTTTAATTTTTGGAGTTACCTAATATTAACTGTTTCTTATTTCTTTCTTTCATTTTAATGTTTTTAAAATGTTTTCTTTTACTCATTATGTGTATATATTAAATTCACACATGTTGTTAACAAGAACTGCCAGAACTTTTAATGATGAAATTTCCTATTTTACATCAGTCTACCTAAAAAAGAAGAAAAAATCAAGTAAGCTTCAACAAATTAACATTGTATTCTGTTATGAATTCCCTGTCTTTCTACAAAAAGATTACAAAATAAACTGCTCCTCAAATTATAAATGACATAATAATACTCAGAATTACTATTGACAAATAAACAAAACATCTTAAAATTCAAGTCATTAAACTCCCTTAAATAATTCTGCTCTATTATTGTAAACAAATGCATTGTGGCAAATGAGTTATTAAAACTATTCATTTAAATATATTCTACCAATGATAATCACATAAAATTACTACAAATATTACAAAAATAAAAGTGAATTGCAAATTTTTTTATTTGTTTGGGGCTTTTTTCATCATGGTATGCTCTCTCTTTTTTTTTTTTTTTTTTTTTTTTTTTTTTTTTTTTTTTTTTTGTACCTAGATTTCTCAATGTTCAAGTATTAAAACATTGATAATTTAGAAAAAAGGATTAAACCTAATAAGCATTTTCTCTTAATATCCTTTTTTTCCTTTTTTTTATTTTAAAATATCCATTCTTGCATTTATATCCGCTTATATCTAACATTTTTTTTCTAAGTTTTTTTATTTTATTTATTTGTTCTAAGAATTTCATTTCATTGTTTGGATTCTTGTTTCATGTCTCTTCTCTCATTGTCAAAGCAAAAAAAAAAAAAAATGAAAACCTGATTTTTATTTATTTATTTATTTTTATTTTATTTTATTTTAATAGTTCCTAATCCTTTTGGTACTGGAGTATTTGCTCCAGCCCCTGGAGGAGTTGGTGGGGGTAATCCATTTGCAACTGCAGGTACTGGCACTGGAGGAAATGGTACAAACTCAATATTTGGAACTCAGGCACCCCCAAACTCAAATGCAGGTTTCAACCAATTTGGCTTGCAAAATGGAAACTTTAATGCTATGTCACCCCAAACTGCTGGATTTGGTGGTATGCCTCCACAGACAGCAAACACATTTGGGGCACCAGGACCAATGGATAAATTTGGGGGATTTGCAGCAGTTCAATCTGTCCAAGGCTTTGCAACTGGTTGGGGACAGAATTCTACTCCATCAGCTAATCCTTTCATGGTAAGTTTAATTGGAAATATAAATAAAAATAAAACATTTTACTAAATCACAAAGAATCCCTGGAGATAAGATTGTGCTTTCGAGAAACAGACAAGTTTAGTGCATATTTTAAGATGTGCTATTTGAGATGATTTTAATTTATTCTTAGAATTCTTTTTTAGGAATCTTTTTATTTAGTCTTTGGAATTGGATATTTTCTAGTTGGTTTAACAATTGTGAATATAAATTTAATAAATCAATATCAGTTTATAATGTATCAATTGAATTCTAATGCTATACAGCTTTTTTTTTTATTTAAACAAATAATCATTTAATGTAAAAAAAACAAACTCAAATCGCTCTTTGTTAGATGAAAATATCAAAACAATTTTTCTTTTTGATAGCAGTTTCTAGTTCGAACTTGTTAAGTTTATTTGAAATAAATTTGTTAATTAAGAAACTATTTAATAAATTGGTTCAATTTGTATTATAAATAGCAGGATTTAATCCCAATCTGTCCTGTTGATGTATGGATGCTGCTCACCTAGTTTGATCATTACATCTGTTCACAAAATATGAAGGAGGTGCTTTAAAGTTCTCAGCCCAATGGAAAGGGAATTTTAAAAAAATTAAAATATTTAATCATTTGGTTAGAATTCAAGAAGCTCTTTTATATATAGCTATTGGGGGGGTAGCTGAGGTTTTATGTTTTACTGATTAAGGTTTGAGTTAATGCCTTTATTCATTTATTAATGTCTTTCTGTTAACTCCCACAATGCAGTGCAACACATAATATGAAAAGAAATATTCCTTCTCTTATTTATCTTTCTCCTCACCCTTTTAATGAAAAGAATATAACTCAATTTTTGTAAAAAAAAAAAAAAAAAAAAATGGATGTGCAAGGATGATACAGTACATCAATGTAAATTCAATTCATTGTATAACCCTAACTCCTCTTGGTAGTGTTGACCATATGGTCACCAAACCTGTGCTGAAGCTGGTTATCAAATACCACACCAGGAGGGAGGTTACACTTTGGTGCAGGTGGCTTCTTTCCTTCACCAGAATGGGTTGTCTAGTTTCATTGTGATTACTTGTGAGAAATTCATGAGCTATGGATTTTTGTTAGTCTGGGCACAAATCCAATGGTACTACTTCAGTGCCGGGGGATCCAACTAAAACAGTTGTAACATGCCCACAAAAGAAATGAGGTTGTTGAAATATATTATCAACGATTTAATTACAGATGAAATGTATAAAAAAAAAAATCATTGTTTCTATTTCTTTCTTGTTAAACTTGAGAGACGTATGTTCTAAGAGATGCATGAGTAGTAATGCCTTTGTAGTAATTAACTTCTATGGCGGGTAAAAGATTTGGATGGGACCCTCTGCAAAGTGTTTGCTTCAATGGTTTGTGGTTTCTAACCTCTCTCTCTCTCCTGCCGTTTTGCACATGTGTATTTTGCTTATACAGGCCCGAACTGTGTATGATTAATTAGCTTCTCAAAGAACCTCTAGAAAAACTAGATGGCCAACCATAAAGTGCTTTTCAATTTGGGCCTGGATTTCTGAGTTTCCAAAATTACATTGAAATTAAAACAAATATGATGAATAGGTCTCTAAATAAATCCTGTGGCAACTGAAAAACCTGTGGAATTTTGGAAAACTTGTTAGTCATGTCATACCAACTTCCTTGGCATTATGGGAGGATGGTCAATTATACCGAATCTGATTTTCATTTGAGTTCAAACTCTTCCAAGGCCCTCATTATGAGTATTTATGGGCTTAAATTAATGTTTTTAAAAATGGCTCCTCCCCCCCACCATCAGACTCCAATTTGTTTAACCATTCTCTTATATTTTTCTCCTTTTGAATATCTCTGCTCCTTCACTTATAATTCTCAAGCACTTTTTCATGCACTAGTATCATTCAGTCAGTACCACTGCCCCGTTAAAACTATTTAAGTATCCAAATGCCTAATAATGTTAACTCTATATTTTTCCAACTATACAGATTTATAAAAAATACACTAGAAAAAATTAACTTAAGATCTTTTGTCTTTCTTTTTCAGTCTGCTGCCACCCAACAGCAAGTTCCTCCTCGAAGCAGTTCAACAAATCCTTTCTTGTGATAATTGGCCAATTCATATTCCCTCTAGTGCATTCACAGCAGCAGCAATTCTGTTGGAATCTGCTCCTCCAGACATAGAAGCTTGGACAACCATCATACAAATGAACCACTTCTTCCTCAGCCTCTGCTAGCCCCATGGATATCCAATCTACTTGACCACATCAGAGCAAAGACAATGAATTCAACCAATCTTGTCATAATACTCTATTACAAACTATTACAATTAATAGCAGCAGCAAAATGAATGTTTGATTTGATTGAAATGTTGGTGCGCCTTTTATGTCCTGGTCAAGAGAAGAAATTAAATGCAACAAAGTGAAATATTGAAGAAGTGATATGGTTATTCTTATGATGATGATGATATCAGTGTCAATTTGTGGTGCTGTCATAACCAGTGGCTAAACAGCTTCTGTTAATATTGAATGGTACTCTATTTCTGACAAGTAAAGGCATCTAGATATTTCTATGGATTCAAACAATCTTTACTTTCCCTGCAAACACTCAAGAATGTCCATTGATATGGCTTCAGCATTAAACAATAGGAAAAGCTAAATGTTTTGAGAAGCCATTTCTCTGAATGTTTCTTTTCAGTTGACTCAGCAACACATGCAACCCACAAAGCACTGACACTATGTACATACATTGGTGTTGGTCAAAGCCACATTTTCTTTTTTGAAAAATGCCCCATGCTGCTTCTCACACTTATATTTTCTTTCATAGTCATGCATTCATGATTTTTGTTTCCTAATTGCCTCTGACGAATACTGAATATGTATTTCTCTTGGTCAATGTCAGATGTGTACCCACTCGATCATCTATAAACCAATGCAATGTTAGTCACTATATATTTTGCCATATATACTTTTAAAAAAAGCTTCATTTACTTGCCCTTATTTCTTCTTTTGTCCATCATCTTTCATTTACACAATTTACAGCTTATGAAAAAACAAACTAAGAATGGAAAAAGTTTACATTTCAAACCAAAAGAAATAAAATCTAAGGGAAATTGGTGGAAAGGTTAATTGGAGAGAAACTGAAGTGTTCAACAAATACACTCTGTTGAGGAGAGAAAAAAAAACAAACTTTGTTTTATGTTACCAGTGTTGTGTGTTCTCTTCCTTCAAACAAAACCTGATTTTTCCAGTCTCCCTAACTTTTTCTTAACTCCTCACAAATATTGTGATAATCACCTATGATTATCAAGTATTTCTCCTCCATCTCATGGCTTTTTGCAGATTTTATTCCAATATAAAGCAAGTCAATATTGGAATTGACTTGAAAGGACAATATTAAGGATAAAATGAGGAAAATAAGCAGCGGATGGCAGACACTGGTTGCTGCCCTATTTGTCTATTTTTATTGATGCATGTAAATAAATGTTTTCATATGGAAAATTTAATATGACTCATTGGCCTTTCAACAGATTTACCCAAGAATTATAACAAGAAGAAAAAAAAACAAATGACTAGGTTAAACTTTTTTTCTTTGTTAATGATTTATTCCTTTTTACTTTGTGTTTTTTTTTGTTTTTTTTCCAAGTTTTTCTTTTTTCATTCTTTCCTTTTTTTTGTTATACATTTTTAATTATTTTTTTTATTCTTAACAAAATATTCTTAATAATTTTTATTATGTTTTTGTCTAATAGATTTAATGTCTATAATTATAGGAATTAGCTTATTGTATTGATTTGTCAATGTTTTATTAATATTTTATCTTTTTTCTCTCTCTCTCTCTCAATGGTTTGTTAGCTTTGCACTGCCATTACCTAGACTACAAATAATGAATTTGATTTGATTATTCTTACTAAGATGTCAACTATAATTGTTTTTAAGTTATAGATTATAAAACTATTTGATGAAAATAATATAAAATCAGCTGGAAAATTACTCACCTTTTTAGTATTTATATTTCTTTTATTAACAAAGTTTATCTCTTAAAAAACTAAAGTTGTATTATAATGCCAGCAAACTAGGAATCCATTTGAGAAAGAAAATAAAGACATTTAAAAATGATGTTCATTAGTTCAATAATGATTCATGATTGTATATTATTTTGAATCTTTCTAGATTTTTGGAATAAAAGACTTTACCACTGAAAAAGAAAAACAAAAAATAAGTTAATTTCTAACTTTATAGTTCTAATGTTTTTGAATTGAAGCTGTAAGCAAGTTTTCATATGAATTTGTTTTATTTTTTTAAATTAAAGGAACTGATTAAATAATACTTTGATCAGTTTCCTAAGTTCTAATGACAATTGTTATGAGTAGGTCCCTCAATTAAAAACGATATTTGCTTTTGATCAAATCTTGTTCATTTGTAACAAAATAAATTGCAGTATTTTAGACATATTTCAGAAGCTGGTATACAAGTATATTATGCCTAATGTTTATTACATATCTCTGAAATATTAACCTTCTGTTATCAATTTTTGACTAGTCAGTCTTTCATCTTATTTTCGTTGCTTTTTATTGCAACTTTTAAATAATTGTTCTGTTAAAGTATAGATCAGAAATAAAGAATAAACCTCCAGAAAGATTAGAACTTGTATCTTTTTAACCTTGAGAAGACAAGCTCTCAAAAAATAATTGATGTTAATTTAAATTGTGTTAGGGCTTCTTTTCTTTTTTTATGATCCATGTTATTTGCATTCATAGAATAATATGAGTTACAAGAAAAGGCAATAGATGAAAATATTGTTATAGATTATTAATATTTATAGTAAATTGTGAAGTTTTATAGTTAGAATTTGATTTAAGACTTATATATGATGATTGGGGAGAGAGAGGAAAAAAAACAAGGATTTTAATAATTGAAAACTGAAGATTTCAAATCAAGGCCAATGTTCAACTCATAAATTGGAAAAAAAAAAAAAAAAAAACACTTAAAAAAAATCTCTACTTTTCCTTTGGAGATTTTTACTTATTTTTAATGTTAGCAATCAGTGCTGTGTTAAGCATAATTGCATAAACTTATCCTTTGTTGTAAAATAAATGTGAGGTTCCAGATTCTGTTGGGGGTGAATTCAAACACCCAGGACCAAAAGAAGATTCATGGATTCCAATGTAAAAAAAAAATCCTATTTATTTGAAATTGCTCAGGCTAAGGATAAATGTTCATGTTTTCATCATCAGCCAATAATATTGGTTGTATGCTGTATAATAGTTGTCTACACATGCGGAAAATTAATTTAAATAAAAGGAATCTTTAATGCTTAAAAGATTGGGAAGTACTAATGAATATCACTGAATGAAAGCATCAGACTGAGAAATGCAGTAAAACAACTCATTTTCTTAGTGAATTTTCAGGTACACACAAAGAATTGTCAAAGATTTATTATTTTATTTCCAAAGAAAAAAAAATAATTTGTTGAGACACAATCTTAATGGAGCCTCAGCATTTATTTTCTTTGAATCATATTAATAACAGACAAAAAGTATGGAGTCAGAACAGAATGGAGTCAAAACTTTTTTTTATAACACAGAGGCAATGCAAATGTGTATTGTAGATTTTACTGATGACCACAATTTGAGTTTTCTGAGTCAAGCAGCCTTAAAATTTCATTAATAGTACCTTAATTTGTTTTATTAAACAATTAAATATGATTTGGCAAGATTTGATAAGATTTTCTTGCTGGATGACTTGCCCACACCATTTCACTTCAAGAATTATTTGAAAGTGTTCTTAATAAATAAATAAATAAATATTGATATTTTTCATATTGAGCTTCTACGAATGAGGTTCAAATATTTCAATTAGGTAACTCTGCTAACCTCTTAATTCACTTCACTCTTTGAAGACACAAATTAACAATCTGTAGAATTATTTTCCAATAGATACAAATGAATTTTCATTTGTATATTGACTATATCAGCACTGAATAAAGGAAAAAAAATTACTTAAGATTTTTAACCATTTAAAAATCGTTTTTATGCATATATTTGTAAAGATTATAAATAAATTTTTCTATAGATTTTAATCTCATTATTTTGAAACCCATTTATCTTATAATTATTAATCAAACATAATGCCATAATAAAGGTGTGACCAGCGAAGACCAAATTTATTCTTCTAATCCTAACTTTGCAAGATAACTGATAAATTTTCTTCTACAGTAGGTGCTTTCTGTTCATATTAAGAAATAATCTATTACAGCACCAAATAATTATTTCAAGGGAAATAGCTTTAGAGTCAACTACAGTAATGATTTTATTCCAATCTTATTTATATTAAAATAGCAGCTATAGGTACTTTCATAAGTGATATTTATAATCTTTTGCATTGTTCTCTTTAGTTCATTTTTCTTACCTTATATGAGGACAAAGTTTTTATTATACAATTACTTACATTTTAAAAGTCTATAAAAATATTCTATCATTGTCTAGATGAATGTTCCATTAAATCTCTCTTTTTGCACAAACCATTGTATGTCAAAAGTAATTAGTTTCCATCACAGGATTTATGCTAAAGATTGGCAAAACTGAAGAACTATAAATGCCTCCAGATTTATTATTTTTCCTGAAGTTTCAGCCCAAAATCTGCCCTGTAATTATTTTTGTCATCATTTTTCACATTGACAATTCTTCCTAACTCCAAATTAAGTCTGCTCATTGATTATTGGAATTTTTTTAAATTATAAGAAAATTTATTTCTTTGAATAACTTGCCTGATATGTCAAATTTAGTTGTAATACATGCATTTTCTTTGTCTTTTTAAAAAGATTGTGCCATTTTCTGCAATTTTCTCATATTTATAGAAAGAAAAAAAATATTAAAATATCCAGAACTTCATTTACTTCTGTTACAAAATATGAAAGTTATATTAATTGACTTGTAAATAAATGACATACCTTATCAGCTTTCCTAAAAGAAAATGTAAATCTTCAAATTTAAATATAAAATCCAAATACATATTTTTCTTGTTTCTAAGACACTGAGTTAGTTGCATAGGTTAATATCTGTCTGCACAAAAATGATGAATCAAGTGAAGGCAAGCATAAGACTAA